TCATCTGGCCTTTGTCGTCCTCGTTGTTCCTTGACTAAAGCACCATCCCTGGCTGGTCCTTTCCCAGTCCATAATTTTATTCTAGACCGAGCAACTTGACCGATGCTTGACTCAATGCTGTTTCAATGGGACAATCGGGGTCATCTGCACCGCCACTGGGACTGCCGTCGCTTCTTGTTCAAATAACAGAGCGGAGTCAGGCGAGTGACCTAGTGAAGTGGAGTAATCCGACGCACAAGCGGCGCTGGCGGTGGTAATGGCAGCGGCGAAGGCGCTAGGAATAGCGGGAGTTCCTCAGTCCGTGAGAACTTCTCTCATGCGAAGAACCCCTGAGAAATAAAAAAAAAAAGCTATAGAAAAAAGAGAAGAGCTGGATCAGAGAACAATCTCGTAGAATGCTAAATAACTAAGTCGTCACGTCAGCGTCTGCTGAGCTAGAACGGACCGGGCAAGTCGTTTCGTGTTGTTGAGTGGCAAACGGCGCTATTTTATGCTACTACCACAGACGGCATCATGAGTAGAACAACAGGAAAACGAAGACAGTGAGAGAATCTTTCATGCACACTGGAGTTTCGGACCCGCGTCGGCCGTTCTCTATCCTTCAACCTCTATCTACCCTTTCGCGTACTTTTGGATCCCTTGCGTTCGCTTTATTCCCCTTCTGTTATTTGCCGCGATTTCTGGCGCTTGTATTTAGAGTTTCGTCCACAGACGAACTCAAGACGCGCAAAGCAATCCAAAGTACAAAATGCGCGAAGGGGTGCAAAGGACAAGGCGCAGCCTTAAGTCCAAGTACACACACAATCTGCTGCGTTCCCTAGTTGCGATTTTTCATTCCATTGGTGGCTTGCCTTCCGGGGCAGGGTCGTCGAAGACGAGGGCATGGGACTAAGTGCGACAGTGATACTTAGGGTAAAGCTGCATTTGGGCCCAGAAACGCTGTTCTTCCAATCGGCTCTGCCATGCTTTGCTAGCTTTCCTGACTGCAGTCAGTTCCCTGCAGCTTTTATGCACTTCAACTACTACAAACGTTGTGGATGCTGACGCCCTTGCAGGCAACGCTCTGCAGACGAATAGTTGCCATGACAGGATGCGGAAGAATGCATCAGGAATTGGATCCATACAACTCTGGAGATGGGCCGATTTCATGACCCTACGGTCTAGTACGACCCTCCCCCGAGATCCTGCGTGCCTCACCAAAGCACCCCTATTCCCTAAAAAGCTAGACTGCCTCAGGCGACGAATACATCAGTAGTCGTTTTCGCCTATCGTCGTCTGTCATGATATTTCATTTGAGGCGGTGACGTTCAAACGCCGACCTTCATTTTCGCCGTTGAATTTCGTTGTCTGCATGTCGCTCTGCTCACAACATCGTTTGTCGAGCACACACAACGCCGACGCAGACATTGCGGTTGGCAGATTTCTTGCTCGGTGATTGGTTAACGTCCCTCATTTTCCATCTCTTATGTTCCAGTATTCTACTTGGCCACCAAAGCTCCTCTCTTGGCGACTGTTCGTATCGGAGCAGCAGATATAATCCGTTCTTTAAAACGAAGCTCGGGTAGCTACGGGGATGCAGTAGTGACAGGACATTCTACTAGAGCTGCTATTTCTGTAACCATGAATAACTGAATTTGTTCTCTGTGCTAGTCGGGGATAAACACGGTGGGTCCTAAACCATTCCCGAGAAATCGTTTCGTGTGCGTTATTGAGTGAGATAAACTGGAATGCTTCAAGCGCCTATTTTGTTTTGAATGCTCGTTAGGAAAAGAAATGACAAGACTTCTGTTTATATATGATAGCGAATCGTGGATTAGTCTCGATTAATTGGCAATTGCTATGGAATGTTAATGGTAACTCATACACAAGCCGAGCAAATCTCAAAACGCCTCAATATCATGCACTAGACTATAATTAGTAAAACTGAATTATCTAACCTGCGCGTTCGCGTGTTTTTTACACAAGAATAAAACTTTCTGGATTTTGTGCCAGCAATTGCAATGCTTCAGTTTTCAGTCAGGCGTCTTTTGTTCAGAACGCGCCTATTACCACGAGCGTACTCATTATAGGCCAAAATAGAATCCACTTACATTTCTTTTTCTTTGTTATTTTCGTTCGGCAATGTTTTCCACCATTGCCGCTAACGTCCATATTTTCTAAAAAGGACAGTTGTTTTTATGGAATTTTCCGCTTAGCGCTCCTCATCTTTTTTTTCCCACTATTTCTGTTTGAATCGGTGCCCTTCGATGTTTTCGTCTGAAATGTAAAAAATATGAATTAGAACGTATGCCAGAGACAGAAGGGTGAAAAAAGTACAAAGACCTAGAAAGGGCTAGCCAAAGCAGCGAAGTATCTCCAATTGTGTTGTTTCTTATTCCTATTCGTTTGTATGAGCTTCTGCTGTACATTTCCAGTCCTCCCTCGTGCGCGTTTTTCTTTCTGGTCGGTTTTTGTTTTTCCATACGTTCATAGCTGGCTCTGCTTGGTGTCTTTAGCTCGCTTCCGCGCCGCTCAATACAGTGTCAGCAAATTCTGGCAGTGCGTGGCCCGCCCCTTGCTTTTCTCGCTCGTGTCGTTACCGCGTGCCAGCGAGCGGTGGCGCCATCGACCACCATATCGTCCTGCGCTCTCTATTGCTACTGCCAAGGACAGAAGAAGGCGAATGTAAGCGTGAGTGGCTGCACAAAAGAAGATGGGCTGCTCGGAACGTTTCCTAAGGAAGAACTGGAAACGTAAAAGTTATTCATTCCCGCCGCTGCTACCGCTAAGAAGCTGAGAAAAGTTCTTGAGGGCCGAGCGTAGACCACTACATGATAGCCGTTTCACATATTCACCAGGTCTAAAAAGACTGGCGCTCACGTCCCGGTAGAGTCCTCAGGGTGGACTTCTTCTTCGCTATACAGCGAGTTGCACCACAACTGGTTTGGAACGATACCATAGCATCCGTGAGGTATTGGCCACACTCATTGTCAAGCATTCACTGATACAGAAAATCTAACATGTAAAAATTAAGATGTATTTGGATAGGACCCTTATGTCAAGGAATATCAATTTGATGGAGAAACCCGTAAAAATGTAACAGTGCGCCAAACCTGTGGTCTATTCAAGTAGGGATGAATCAAGTGAATGGAAACTGGATAATGAATAGAAGACCCAAAAAAATAAAAGGAGCAGAAATGCAGGTATTTTTACTCACTAACATAGCATAGTCTCTAATCTTGATGAAATAACAATAATTAGCACAACTAAGTTTAGATTCGTCGATAATTATTGCCGATACAAAACGAGTGAGATACAATAAGTCACAAAAGTGCACGCACTACTGCACGTTTAATGCAATAGCGAACAACCACCCGGACATATACAAGTTTAACGTGCCAAGTCTCAAATCCGTAGACCAGCTGTTACAGTATGAGGTGACACTCACACCCAAGCCAAGCCGACTTTTTCGGTCGTGTCTAAAGATAGGCATTGCTGCCGAAATGAACTTGGTGCGAAACCGCGGCAAAGAAGCAAGGCGCCGTCGGGGCACCTACCTCTTTGCCCCCTTCGTCAGTTCGCCGCTCGAATCTCTCTTGCTTTTATAGTTGTGGCTGCGAAAAAACCCACAGAGCGGTGAACACCGTAGAGCCGAGAGAGACTGCCAAGAAAGTAGGCAAAGTAGCGCAGGCGAGATCGTCTTCGATTTTGTACGAGTAATTGCCCGGAGCGTTTGTGAGAAACGATCTCTGTTTGTCTCACGTTAGCGGGGCCGCGGAAGCTATTTGTCTCCAAAGCCTCAACCATACCGAAAAGAGGAGGCTACGTAAGAAAGCGAGGAGAATAAAAACACCGATGGTTTGGTATTAGTAACTCACAAGCCAAGCCGTCCAAGCACGTTTTGCCCGATTCGCCTCGATAAACTTCTATCAACATATTGACGCTGCTCTTTTTATCTGTCCATGTGAATGTGTTTACTTCAAAATATAGAGAGCGCACACGGACGATTTGTAACTGTACATAGTAGTAACAGTCCTCGCAAAAACACGGCATATCGCAGGCTTCTAGCCCTTCGGCCAGACATCTTCTCTTCCAGTTGGAGGTTGTCAATCTAGGAGATTCATCGTTCTTGAAAATTGTTGTGTTGTTAGAACACGTCCTAAACTATCTGTATGCCCGTTCGACTCGATATAATTGCTCTATATTTATCAATATGGTTCTGCCAAAGCGAAGAGGGCACAATAAAAATATCTTCTGTAGACTATTCACATTCAGCCTATCATCTAGAGAGACTAGGCACGTACGTGCAAAGACTTTACGCAATAGGTAATATTTGTCATATTGACAAAATTAACGTTAAAAGCACATGCAGACAGTGTTAATATTGTAAGCGTGGAACTGATGTAGATAGGCTTAACACACGATTAATGAGCTTTAAGAGATAAGTGTTTCTTACATAAGCTAAAATATAATAATGTAAGATTAACACATCCCTATGGGTGTTTGTGTGTTTAAAAGTAGTCACTCTTCAAGCGGAATACTAATCATTTGGCCATTAACTTCCTTCTAAGTTGAGTGTTACTGTCGACTAAACTATGAAAAGTGTGTTTGCCTCCTTTAAGCATATTTCGTAATAACCAATGTTGCTCGAAAAAAAAAACAGCTTACTAATAGACTTGTATCGTGAGGGGGTCGGTCTCATGGACCTGTAGTGATGTGAGGTGTATGACAATTTATTACTTGTACAAATTGCCTAAAGGTATGATTGTTAGGTCACGATGCTAGCGGTCTAGTGCAGGTATATACGATAGAGCAAGCAGACGAGAAGAAAGTGTCGGCATAGGAGTCAATTTGGACAAATTAGTGCAGCATGCAATTTCACACAGACTGAATGTAGATTTTTTAAATCTATCGTGTTTGTGGCTAACTGGGTATACGACTATTCTTTTGCAATTTTCCGTTCTCAACATGACCGCCATCGAACGCCACTGCTATCTATCGAATTAAAATGCTCCACCTAGTCCATTCATATACTGGCGAAACGCTAACGATTGCCCGCGTCTCTCGGATCCACATGGGCGCGTATCTGTGCATAGCCAACAACAACGTGCCCTCGCCCGTATCAAGAAGGATTATGCTACACGTCCACTGTAAGTAGCCGCAGACGCACGCAATTTATCTGTAGTGTAGCTATATTGCACGGACATCATATTTCTAATCAATAGATAGAACCGAATAACTTTGTTACTATATTCAGATCCGACCATCTGGCAAAGCCTCCCTGTTAAGGGCTTTTAATCAAAGTGATTGTTTGTATCGGCGGAATAATACGGCTGTATTTATAGCACATTTGATTGTTTATGTAAATGATAATGCCGCGACTATTCTTTCGCGGATAAGCAGGTGCCGATCAACACATAACGGTGCTCTTTGCGGATATAAAGCTGCGTACGCGATCTATTTTGCTTTTTTTTCCCGTGGCGTAATTATGGATTTAGCTTTAATATACAAACTCTAGTCACCAAAAAGAAGGCAAAAACGCTAAGGATGAGGTCGATTTCAGAAGTTATCGGTGGCATGAGGTTTCTTATTTTTTTATTTTTTAGGTTGTTTAATTCCCCTAAACATTCTTCTGGTTGGTGTTTATTCACAATTTTACTACACATGGCGGCGACAAAAATAAAAGAAGGACCTAAAAGAAAAAGGCACCCTTCATTGATCCACTATTTTTACGCTTGTCCCTCTGCCATGACCATATCGAAGGCTGGATTCTGCCTTGACGTTGACAGGCAACCTTAGCTTCTTACTTTGGTCTTTTCGGAGACCGAATATTCCCGTGTACTTTCCTACGGACGAGGGTCAGTCACTTTACCCCAGAGACAGCAGCCATACGAAAAAGAGGAGTCGAACTCCCTTCCATTTCTCGGGTAGAATACGTGAAATACGACAAAAAGTTCGAATATGATATCTTTTCGCTTCTGCCGTGCTTAGGTCGTTGAAATCCCAAGAGTTTTTTTTTTTTTTAAGAATTGACGTTTGCAGTACGAAGACGCTCCCTTTATCATTTGGTCTTTTCTTCCTTTCATTCCCTTGAGTTCCTTGGCCTTTACACCCTCTTCTAGGCTCCTTTTTCCTGTCCCCTGAATGCCTTCTTCGTCTATACTTTCATTGAAGGAGAGCCACAGCTGGTGCTTTTCTGCCGTTAATAGCACTAGCGGTGCAAGCCACGTGAGCTCGTATTGAAGCTGCGACAGTACTTACGGCTTTACGACACTAGTTCTGCGCTTCCTGGTAGTGGAATTGAAGCGACTTGGTAAGTGGCAGTAGTAGCCGGAGAGCAACTACGACTATTCGTGCTCTCCGCCTCGCTACGCTTATGTAGGACCCGAGGACTCAATCGACCGACTTCATCGTTCGTCTCTAGCGTGGGCGTGAATCGGTGGAGTATTGAGGGAAAAATAAAGACAGAGAAGGGGACAAGGCCTTTTTCAGATGTTACGCTACTACAAGCCGGAGGTCTTTCTGCTGCCTTTCTCTCTCTGACCGTCTTTGGCTCCGTGCGTATGCACGTGGCCATACAGACGGCTACGACCAAGAGAAACATACAGACTTCGGCCCCACACGGTTGCCAGCTTCAAACTTAGCCTAACGCCTGCTTCATCTTTGTGTCACCCAGTAACCTTACGAAACCGCCTCTCCGCCGAGGTGTTCATTCTATTTTCGGGCTTTGGTCGCTCTGAACTTTTTCGTAGATTTTTCTACAGTGCCAGTTACCAGCCGTGTGCAAGGTTCAGGCAGTGAAGACGCATACCCAAAGGCATAGAAAAGGACAGGAAAAAAGCAGAAAGTCGTTTGACTATGGTCGCTGCCTGAGTCGACTATATCCCAAAAATATGATTTCTATAGCAACCTGTCATCTTTAACGCTATTGGAAAGGCAAGACTAATGCAGGGAAGCACGGCCGCTGGATAACTAACACGCTTCTTTCGTTTCTTAAGATTAGAAAGGCAACCTCTGAAAATACGTTAACCTAGGCACCGAAAGCACGGGGACGATAACCAGTAAACGGTGAGTTGAAGGTACGAAAGTAACACAGACAAGGGCTAAAGCGATCCTTCGTAATGTGAAATGACTGCTTAACTAAGTAACCAAGCGACCTACTGTGTTCCAAATTATCTACCTGTGCAATCATTTAATAGCGATAGTACCTATTCTTGTCACCGTACATTATCTGTACGGTCAGTTATCATATCTTTCAACCAAAAGTCAGGAAAAAGTGATAACTCATTGACTATCTTATCTGAACGGGGCGGCATCGGAAAACCCCTCGTTTCTGCTCGATCTTGGAGCTGTCCACTTTTTTCATAGGTGTGCATAGTATCGCATATCATCCTATCGCTCAATATCAATATAGATTCGGACAACGAGCATATTAAGGGGCCCAGCGCCTACGCGTTTTCGGCTTTAGAAACATCCTGCGATCCCCTTACTCCTCGGCAGCCCATGCTTCCTTAGTCCATAAGACCCGAACTGCCGATCACCAGGAAGAGCGCTAGTCCCTTCGCCGCCTCCTGGACGACCCCATCTCGGGTGGCTTTAATTCGCTGGTAATTGCCCCTGATCCTATTCCATGTCAGGCAATTCAATCCCGTGTTGTAGTATTTCGCTAGACATCGCCAATCCTTCACTTTGATGCCGAAAATGAAACAAAGTGAAATCGGCAAGATGCTACTTCTGCATCTCGCCTCAAATACATAACGAAACTACCCCCGATATCATTGTTGTTACTCTAGTAAGAGCTTTTAAAGGCCATTTGCGTTATTCTTAGTTATTATTATTATTGCGTTCTGCGACCCGACTCCCGACTTCTTGCGTTCGCCTCTCGTTAGAGGCGCTTGAATTGCTCAAAACGTTATTGGCTTTCTCACTAAGTCCGCGCTCAATATGCGGACACTTGGCAGCTGACTGCCGTTAGTGAAATCATTCCGACCTCAGCCCTCTGCACAGCGGGACCCCTTACGCAGCTGTAAACATTGAAACTAACCGCATTTAAATATTACAGTCCAGTTTATTTCTCCATCTCGGCGATTAATCGGCTGTAATACAGTGTCAGATATATCTTACACTGATTTCGCTCAATCCACTCCGGCTTCCGCACTTGAACTCACACAAAAATCGTACGTATGTGCAGCTTCAAAGGAATATTTAGACACGGTGGCCAGCGCCGCACCGTCTATCGGAATACCATTCCGTTGGACTACTATAATACAAATCTCCTAAACTGTGACCAATATTAATTACTTATCGTCACGCGATGTCCATTCATCAGATGCATGTCGACGCAAACCATGAATCTCCCATGCGAATAGTTATAATAAGCGCAGTGTTATTCCACTAAACTGTGTTTAGTTGCAGTAGGGTAATGAGTCTGCGTCATTCGAAGATTTGGATGAAGGACCTTGTACTACTAGGACGCGTCGGAAGGGCGAAGCCAAGGATTAATACCAAGCTGACAAAATAGTAAGGACAAGATCATCTACGAGATAGGCGACGACTACTTCCATTTCACTTCTGGCCATCTTGCGGCGACATGTATCATTTCATATGTTATGTAGGTGGTGACCAATCCTCGTTGTCCCCCCCCCCCCCCCTACATAGACCTCTCGAGTATGGCTAAGTCAACCAACCATTTCGCCACCTGTTTTAGGTATAGTATAAATGAGGATCCTAGCGTCTCATCAGTACCTACACACGTTTCTGCAACTTCATTCAGTTGACAAGCAATGCATTTCAGTGGAACTTATCGCAAATAATAGTTGCCCTATGGGAAAGTTTCACTGCACTACCAATCAAAGCAGATCAACAGAACGCTCGCTAGGTGTGCTCTAGCGGTGCTGACGATAACCACTGCCCCGAAGACAGTAACCTAGATGAGGATATTATATGAAAGACGACACGGTCTCGGCTGTACTTCAGCAAGCGATAGTTGCTGGATAGTGGGACGCTGGGCGAGAGACGGCAAGAAGGAGATAAAATTTGGGGACTAATCGCTATTGCTTAAACGACAGAATAGAGCAAGAATGCTGGACTACTGCTAAATATATTTGTAAGGTTGACAATTTAAGTACGATGTCCTCCATCTGCCTGCACCAACACAGGAAGTCACCCCCTCCCGATTAGTCCGCCAGATAAGCTGTCCACGATTGCTATCCACTGACATTTGTTTACTGCGGTAAACCACTGACTCAGCTGCTATTAGCTGTATAGAAGAAGACCAGATATAGAAGACGTAAACATCCCATGGCGGTGGTTCGATTCCACCAACCCTTGCGGGAATAGGTGTACCCGTATGGGTTTGCGTGCTACCATTTATACTTTGCAGCTGTTTTAGGTTGTTTCAAGCTGAACCTGCATTAAAGCCGCTTAGCCTCTTTTCCACTTGTAAAGTTGACTATTCGTCGGAGATAGAGCATGGAAAATGATGCCAGTGATGACTACGACTATAAGCGAGAAAAGGGAAAGATCTGTTCCTGGAGAATTTTATAATGGCTTGATCTTGTAATAAACGAAACACATGGAACATGGCTACTTTTATCGGTCACGTTAAGTCATCTTCCGCTGCTACGTTCTGCTTTGTGTTGACGTATTGCAGGACAGTAGAGGCCAGAGGTAAGCAGTATGACTGCGAGCTTTTGACACTGCTTATATACAGAGCCTCAGGCGACTTTGCCTTTGGAGAGTTGGAGTGAATGATAAATTTCACAAAGCGAAACGTACTCGAAATAAACAAATTATGACGATCTGGCTTCAGTACAATTGATGATTCTTAGTAACGAAGCAATTGTTTTTGTGTGTACAGTTCTGTATGGTATCCAGCTAGATTGGTTAATGGTAACTTGACAACCTCTTTTCTGGGGGCAAATCATACAAACATTTTGGTGAAAAGAGCACTGGTGTTGCTGAATGAATGCACGTACCGCCAACTTCTTTGATATTATATTCTACACAAATATTATCAGGAGGGGCCTAGGTCAGTATGGGTTCAAAACAAGCCAGTTTTCACTGTTTGTATGCCGCCAGACGCAGCGTTGTTGTATCTGGCAACCAAGGAACAAGTCACCGACCGAATCTGACCGTCACGTTGGCTGATCAGAGACTGTTGGCTATTCTGATAACATGACCGCTGCTCGTCTCTCAAAAGCAAGCTCTTTCAATGAACCATTATTATACATTTGAGCGTCGCTTTTAGCAAAATAGGGAAAGCTATTTCTTTGCCAGAAACAACCGAAAATATACATTTTACATTTCTGTGTTATCAGAGTTTCATAATGCCTTAAGACGTGGTTCGACAAAAACACAAACTATTTTTCTGCTACAGTTATCATCTCAAATTGATTTTAAAAGAAAAGGGTCTACTTTTGGGTAGCAGATGGACGCCGATGCTGACGCCTATCAGTACTATTTAGATACACTCCAGCAAAAATTGAAAATAATTGGAAATTTAAGTTCATTTTGCCATCATCGGAACGTTCCTCGAGCCGCACACGGATCCAGTTCTAGCCGCGTTACGTTTCGAGTTAGTTCTGGTGGCCGTCCGTCTACAAGTTAGCATTCAACGACTTTTTACGTTTCTCCTACTCCCCGCTATTAGCTTCACTAACCTCATCCGTACTTGTTGTCTTTCGATCTCTCTCTCTCAACGTCGTTTAAATGGGGCTATGCATGAATAACTTACAAGACGCCATCGGGCTGACACAGCGAGCGGGTAACGGACAGATAAACCGAAGGCGAAACGAAGCCGAGATCACATGAAGAGAAACAGTGGATGGATTCGCAAAGACTTTCCCACTTTGGCCTGGTCTGGTCAGGCTGGTCTTGCCTTTTCTCGCCCGTCCTTTGCACACTACATTTCAACTCGAGTCTTGCATATTACCCTATTAACAGATAGCTAGAGATGCGACAGAGAAGACTATATAACTAACAGAGTCAGCGAGTTCAATCTCCCATGAGAATACGCTCCTGATAGATGGAAGCTCTGCGTTCAATTCATTCGAACAATAGCTATGTGAAGTATCGAAGATTGCTCTCTGGGAGTACGGTTTCAAATAAATATCGAAACATTGGGTGTTTCTTTTTGCGAATCGTCAATTTATCGGTTATTGTTATCAGTTGATTCATTGAAAGTAATTTACTTCGCTTCTATTCACTTAGCTCGGCCGTGGATGATAGTAGATAGAGGAGTATGAATGTTAACTGATTTGTAATTATTATCGCAAGACCAGCAAGATTTCCTGTTTGATGAAGCCCTCATCTCAAGCATCCGCACGCAAATCTTCTGATTCGCTAGATCCTCCTTTCACAGGTTAGGTAGACAAGGATTTATTAATGTCAGCTGTGTGCTGTCATCACTACTGCTCCAAAAGCCGTACGGTTCATGTACCGAACGCAAAGACCGAAGCACAGCTCCTTATCGCGTTCTGTCGGTGTCGTCGCTGCCCGTTTGTTCATTCGTCTTCCATTGCAGACTCCATTAATCCCACCGACAAGGATAAGTCGGTGGAATGAGCAGAACTGTCTGTCTTTGTAAGGACGCTTCCGACCATGCCTCTCGTTCATAGACGCTCCTTGTACTGTCGTCACGTGTTATTGCCGGTAATTCGACCCAGTGTGTTTCTGCCGTCACAGTCAACGCAATTCGTCAGCTGAAATTAGTGATACTTTTCTTTGTCTCGACCTCGTCGTCGTCATCGTTGTGGCGTTAGTACGATCCTCATGGTACAGACCGACGCGCAGTTGTCTGCCCCCGCTGCGACTTGGACTTTATCGACACGCTTCACCCCCAGAATCGGCTTTGCAAAATGACCACGTTATTAGAGGCGTAGGCAGCCAGGCTACTCTCAGAATAAGTCTGTCTGATCCATCCTATTTGCGTCAGTTCGTTTCGGCGAGTAGCAAAATCCAGTACTTCGAAACCGAATCGAGATCGCACTTGCTGTTCTCCTCCAGATCTTGTTTCAACCGGCAGTGCGACTTTCAGCGCTCCTTTTTCCCGCTTTTGGCTGGCCTGTATCGTCTTTCTTGTTCGCCTTTGTTCCAGTCGAGAGTTTCAGGTCCTTAGATTCTTCAGATCCGCCAACCTGCCTCTGGTCCGTCTTTTTAACTGTTTCCCTTGTGACCCTGGCTCGTAACTCGTGTTATTATTTGGACCTATCACAGGCATCGCCATCTTTCTCCATTACAGTTGTTTCCCTGGCTTTCAAATCGTTTAAGGCGGCTGTGAGCCAGGCGCCAGACCTCTCTAACCGAAATATTTTACCTCGCCCGTGTGTAAGACGTCGAGAATTGTCGGACACCAAAGAACGGACAGAGACTAGACGCGCGGCCAGGCACACCGTTGATAACGAAAACAATGACTGGGAAAAGGTCATGGCAGCGGGAAGCGGGCAAACTGGTGTGTGTATCTAGCCAGCCTATACGTAGCATTTTGTAGAATTGATCATTGCCATTGACAATCGCCAGCCGGTTCAGTCCACATAAGCAGTGCAGTAGCCTAACGGAAAACCTTCCGGTTCCTGGGGCACAGGTCAGGCTGCAAATAACAAGTTTTTTTTCTACAGAAGTGGGTAAATTCTACATTCGTTTGCCGACCAAAAACTTCCCACTCAGTTTTCCTACTATTTATCTGATGCCGAGTATTCCTACCTTAGCATACCAGGAATCAATTCAATTCCGATAGCTCCTTGGTCGACTTTATAGGGGTTTGCTACTTTGTGGGTCCAACCTTGGCTGCCATCGGACATCGATCCATAACAGCGTTGTAATGTCCTGCGCTGTGCCTTGTTAACCAACCGTATTCCGCAGTGGTGAAACAGCAGCAAACTGCGTAAAAATTCTTCGTCCGCTTTTTTCGAGCGGTTAGCTGGTCATCTTGCGCAAATAGGTTCCATGACTGAAAAAAGTATTGAAAAGCTAACCCTAAGGACCCTTTTAGGACATTATGAAACAGACTAAAGTGGCCTAGTCCTGTTGTAACAAACTAACTAATAGAACCAATGCAAAAACATGCCCGATCTTTGAGTTGTTCCGAATTGAAAGCAATGCGAATCCCTTCTCTTTTCTTCAGCTGTCATAGGGATTTGCCATTGGGTTGGCCTTGGCACTCTTTTTCGCTGTGACGATTAGCGCTTAGCTTGATATTCCATGTCCTGTCCATAATTCCTGTCTGGCGCCTTGTTGGGGTTTGCTTGTACGATTCTTTGACATGTCCGCCGCTGTCTCCGTGTTGTTCTAGATAGGAAGAACCTAGACACCGTTACGAGCTGATGCCCCCGGCCAGTGAATTCGCTAGTGACCTTTGGGTACGACTGATGATCAGAAATTAGTAAAGTTGGTAAGCACGTGCGCAAAGTGTATGCATAATAACTAACCTAATAAATTCGGCACCTTGTCTGAATGGAATGAAGGTAATACAAATGAGATCGGCAGACAGAAAACACGGGGCAAAGGACGAGGGGGAAGGGGTGGCAAAGAGATCGTGACGAAGAAGAAGCGAGGATTAAATAGATGGACGACCTTGCGGAAAGCAGGGAAGAGTAAATTAGCGTGGTTACCCCAAAATTATGATTACGATAGATACATATTTTTCTAGTTAGATGTAATACAAAGAACATAGGTGAAAATTATTCCAGCTTATCTATGCGCAGCGTATCGTGTACACATAATTACAGTACAATGAACTAACTGCCACCCGTTGGAGGCAAATCGGATTAAAGACGGATTGACAATTGCCCTAAATTATAAAATATCACATGAGTTATTTGATTACTAAATATTCGTAATCGTCCAAGTCGGGGTTTCATATAGGTTGCATTTTTATGAGGTCATTTTTTGCCGTTATATGCTTTCTAAGATTGTCACTATCGTATGCTTTATTGTTAATTTTTTTCTTATCAATCTTGCATTGGTGTCTTCGTCCTGTCTTCTGTACCCGTCCGTGCGTTTGGTTCTTAGTTTCGCCAGTTATCTGGATTCCCCAGCAATTAGTAGGAGTTGCGCCCCGTCATAACGTTTCGTTGGATTGCCACAGCGAAGCGTACCCTCTTGCGACGATCCATTGGTCGAAAGATGGTAGTCGACTCACGGGCAGCACCGAAACCACGCGCTCGACAGGGCGGCAATCAGCTTTCCAAACGTTAGCGCAAGGCGCAAATACTCCTGCAGGTAAGTTATGCAATACGTCTCTCAAAAAATAGCAATACACATATATGCAGTATCAGACAAACTTGAAAGTTTTTAAATTGTTTGCCCACATACAAATGTATGTGACTGCAACAGACATAGGTCAAATGTCATAAATAACGCGTTTCTTAGAACATAGGTGCTCGGGAGGTACATAAACCTAGCCCTATGTGGCAGTTTAATGTATATCAATAAGTTTCAAATGCCGCAAGCAATATGTGCTCCTATGAATGCGCCCAAGGAAAGAAGAGTAGCTTGAACTTCTAGAAAAAAAAAAAGTATAAAGTAAATCAGAGTTGCAAATGATATAATATGTATATTTTTTCCTATGATACGCATAGGATTAATCTGCTTTCGGAACCTGGGGTTTTGACTGAAATTTAATTCAGGTGGCAAGTACCTCATCGAAGCTAAACGGACATCATCATACAAAATCCGGTCGGTGCTAACTATACGTGATACTCAGCCATCTGATTACGGCTTCTATAAGTGCGTTTCCGAGAACATCCTAGGATTCACCGAAAGCTCCGCCCAGATCTATGGTGAGTCATCAATTATATGGGAGGAGGCCATCCGCAGTTTTTGTTTGCGGAAGAAACAATTATCGTTGCCTCATGCTGCCATTTATAGCATAAGAAAGCAGCTTGCTTCTTTAATGGCACCGATCTGGGCAATATGTATTTAGCGAAATATTTTACGTGACATTCCCTCTTCGCTACGCGGTTACCAAATCAGATCCACTTAAAGCGTTTTATGAGACGGGATTTTGGCGGATGGACCAATCGTATGAAGTATCGTATAAGCTGATTTTCGTAGACAATATTTGTGCATTAATTTGATAAACTTCATTGGACTTCAGCCCTCAGTCATTTGAAAAAGTTCTGCATCTTCTTCGTAGGACCGAGGCTAACAATAAGCTATACAGATGGACATTCTTAACAAATTCAAACCACTTTGCCGTTCATGAAATGAAAAAAAAGTGCATAAAGTCGTAAGCGAAGTTGAAGTTCGCGTACCTAGAATTAACAGGCTCTAGCTAATTCTAGCTTCTATCCTGTGTATGACTTTTCCTTGCAGAGGTATCTCCTGCACGGTCCTCGTCGACTCAGGAGAGCATGGTCGAGGACGACGAAGAAGATGACGAGCCCCCCTACGGGATGGGCACTCCGGAAAAATCCTATAGTGGTATGCATCGTCTTCAGCGTGATAATCGTATCAGCCAAGCGATTGTTCTTGCTTCCAACCAAACTATCCCGTCAATCCCTTTTGCTCTCTATGAGAAAAAGCATCCACCATTTTATCCCACACCTCGCCCGCGTTTCCTCACTTGACCACTGCAAAATCTGCAGTGACGCGGCAGTTATTCTTTTTGTTTACCTGGGACCAGTGCGCCCTGGGCCGTTGTCTTGGGACGACATCGAGCCGTTTCAATCAGCGACGCAGTAACGATAGTAGAAACAATAATTTGTATTAGTCGACAAATTAATTATGTTCTTTTGTCAACTGGTTGGGTTCAGAGAGGTGAAAAGAAAAAGTTCGATTGCAGCTGGTTGCTCGGTGTCGTCCAGGACCTGTGGCTCCAGGCCGGCCCACGTAAATGTGTCCGTTCAAATCAACAGCACTTGACATCGCCGCCAGCCCTTGCGACTCGCGCGCTGCTAGACCAGTGGTCATCCGATCTCAAAATATTATTCCGCAGCATTGGGCTGATGTGTCCGTACATCAGACCAGAAAAACACAGCATGGATGATAATGGGCTATGCTAAATATATACATAGCTAAGGTTTGATTGATCAAGATCGTACTGTCTTCTGCCGCCCTAAACCTTTCCTTGTTGTCTGCTTCAAACTTCGTGATCGGGTCACCGCATGTCGGCGCAGCTGCGCGCGTCCACCGCAGAAGCGGCGGAGTAAGATTGTCAATGTTTTTGCGTCTCTTTGACTGGTTACTGATTGACTGACAGAATGGTCGGATGTGTATCAATCTCAATTCATTTCAATCAGGTCTGCTCACCTTTTACAACTGCTAGTATAATTACGGTTACGATAGTTGTATCTGATTGACTGACTGACTGACTGATCGATATAATGTGGTGGTTGGTGATTGAATGCGTTGGTTAACAGCGAAAAGAACGGAAACAACGAAAAAAGACAACAGAGATGGAAACAAGCGAAGCGTGAGAACGTCACTGTGATATCGTATTCCGATAGGTTATGATTTTTTCAATTAACTTTTGAAGCAGCTGCTTAGTTAAACTAGTATCACAATGCCAAAAAGACTAACGTGCCGAACCATTAAATTCAATACTAGACAAACAATTTTTTATATAAATGAAACGAATGTTATTCATTACTATCTACTGAACATTGTTGCTTCATATAACGTCACGCTTTAACAACAAATTAATCTTTGTTGGCAGTCCAGTATTGAATGACAAGTCAAGTTCATCGGATCTCTTCTTTATCTACTTACCTCGTCCCGGTAACTGCCATTGTCCTGATGTCTGTACGCTGTACGCCGAAACGACCTGTTCGAAAACGAAGTTTGCTCCCTTATTTGGTTTTTTTTTTCTTGTATGTTATTATTACATATTATTTTTTAGTCATCGAAATATAATTGATATTAAATTTTCAGTATATGAAATAATGACTTGCACCTGTATTGAATTTTTCGGTTGTTAGCAAGATCAGTTGGGGGTGAGACGAGAACAACTAAAGGTCCATCAAGCGTGTTTATGCGACAATTTAGATTGGGTTGTCGCAACTACGATCGTTCGAGATATACGTGTCCGCACAATATATCGATGTTTCTTTCCGCCACAATCATCAACTTTTGGCAGTACTGGTTAGATGGATTCATTATGGTAATAAGGGAGTACGGTGTACTATGATCCAGCTTAGGCATATGCTCAAGGATTACACTACAAAAAAGAGATTTTCCCCTCTACCCCTCTATCCCCCACCCCAAAACGAACCTGCTTAATCAAGTTGTAATAACCCACATGATGCCAGCTTACGAGTTTATGCCTAGATACTTGTAAAATAGCCGTAAGGATCGTATACCGTTCATCGCTTTGATTGCCTCAAGTTATCTTCCTCTTCTGATGTCACGGTGACGACAGGTCTTCAAATTTCACCAGGCTTTGCCCCCCATTGCTTGGCTTCCATTAAGCGACCAACAACTGGCATTGATGAGGCTCAGTTGATCGAGCATGGTGTTTGTCTGTGGCAGATCATTTCTATGACTTTCAATGGATTGTCCTTCTGCCTACTATGCCCAGGCCTACTTCCGTTCCTAGCAAAGTTGTCCTAGCTAACGTCAATGCTAGTTAGCTATGTGTCTCGTTAAGCTGTAATGTAATGGACTACTTGTTTCATTTTACAGTACCTAAATTGTAGTGAATAAAATACAAAGGCCAAAGCTTGGCTGTTTTTTCTTTGTCTTATTATTAGCATTAATAAATTACTCAGTCGTTATTACCACAATGCCATCTTCCGAGTTGTACTGACAGCACTGATTTTCCGATATGGATGACCCAGTTTGGATTAATATAAATTAATTAATTAATTTAAATATTGGCGCCGTATTTTCGTCTAGGTCTAGTCATTCGAACTTAAGGTTTATACGACATCTGAAATTTTGTAGTATGTTGATGTATTTGAAGATGGTAACGCTCCATATAGCTGAAGACAACGATGCGCCTGGGCACATATTTTTAATGGCGAGTGGCTGAAATTAATTTCTTAGGCAATAGAATGAGTCTGTAGAAAAATAAACAATTGTTGACGACGAATTTTTTCAAGATAAATGTATACATAGCTCATCTAAGTTCAAAGGGATACTATTGTGTTGTATAAACTCAAAAGCTTTAAAGTTTAGATTTTCATGGTACGCGCGGTGCTGGCCTTGTTTATTCATTATCGAACTACTTGGGAAGGCCTTTCATCGAAACAAGCTTTGTACCCAGTACGCGCCGTAGGACAGATACATGTACCTTCAGGATAATACACTTCTATTTATATAGAATTTCTCGTTAGTCCTGCCTATCCGAATTTCATCAACACACAAAAGAGAAGATTGATTTTGATGTTTATTATATGGGAGCTATGGTTAATAATTACACGTTTTGCAATATACTGATTTTATCACATCGTATGTAAGGCAGCTGGTTTTCATTTTCCACGACACCACATGTCTCTAGACAAGATATGGCGCGCTTAGGCACCATGCGCTGCAGTACTATCAGTTTCTCTGAGCAGGCAAAACGGTCCTGAAATTTAAAATGTTCGATATTTGGGTTCATAAGTTTAATAACGCTTATGGAAGCAAACGTCGTACCAGATTACCTTAATAACAGTTCCCTTCCGTAGAACCATAGAAACATTCTGAATACCAACATACAGTTTAGCGCTGGTTTAATCGCTTCTCATGAAATAACTAAGCTTATAGCAGCAAATAATACGATATACAGACAGGACATAATACAGAACGAAATATCGAAAATTTACACAATCCAATCCAATCCAATTGAAAATTGTGTATTTTGAGGCTTTCCTATATAGCTTATTACTTGAATTTACATTTAAGTAATCGTTCAACTTAGGCATCGTTATTTAAATTAGGATTCACGAGATAGGTTTTAGAAAATGGCTCGTTTGCATTTTCAAATCTGTCTTACAAATTTCCGCCTTATAAAATTCATAACATTTTAATTCCGTACTGCAATGCAGAGTTTACGGTCTCTAATAAACAATACATATTCCTTCGATAAAGAAAAAAAAACCTAACCTGTTTACAAGGATGCAGATATATTCACGTCACTGGAGTTATCGCCCAGTGTCAACGTAGATGGCATACACAAGGCCCACACAGATATATTTTCCTTTTTGGATTTGCCCAAAATTTCCTCTTCCGCCTTTACTGTGCTATATACCACGCCGCCAGGTCTTTCCGAAATTATTTACCTCTGAAGCCCTAAAGATACTATAAAAATTGTGTGAATGATAACTGATATATATTGCACAGATTATTCCGACATAGTGTTCTTGAGATGTAGTCTACAGAAATAGACGGCTTTGGCGATTAGCATTGGTCGCGACTACAATTTTCTGTACAATCAGGATTATAAATAAAATAAGATAGGCGATAGCGAAATCCAGAAATTACGCTTCGCCCCCAACCTGTGTCGGATTTACACATGAGCATTTCTGTTTACCGTTGTTACCGTTACAAATGTTTAATTTAGGTCTTTTTTTTTTTTAAATGTCTCTATATAGATCTAAGCGGGAGCTGTGGCAACTGCTTTGCCTTTAGGTTGATCAAACGCTCACGGAGTAAACCTTTGTTTCTGCGTGAACATCCTCTCAGATGTGCAAACGCGTGCCGTTTTTTGCAGTGTAGGTATTGAATCAATCGTAGAATATAGCTTAGCCACAGATCGAGTTTGAATCCTAGCCCTTATATGCGTACCTTTTTCACTTCAGCCTACCATCTTTCAGTGCGCCGAACGTTTATATGGACGAATGTAAGCGAGTTTTGAAAGCTACAACACTTTTCTATAAACATATTTGTCTGGATGGATGTCGTATTGTTTGTATCGTCGAAACGGTGCTCGCTACAAAGAGCCCTGGCTAACTTGACAGGTTTTTGAGATCGGCGTAGGACATTATCATGGGATCTAGAAGTGGGTCATTTGTATTTTGCGTATATGTATTGGCTATGCATTATTAGTACAGGCTATGAGATACGATCAAACTCACACGTCCAGTTTCACATACTGTCAACCTGCTCCATTGGAGAAAAAATTTATTTTAATAAAATTACTGTTATTATTGCGACAGTAAAGGTTTCTAGGAAAGCCATATCCTCATAAAGGCCACCGCTATCAGGACATGATTAATGTTATGCTGTGAAGTGTTGGGTTGTTTTTGTTACGCCAAATGAAGCCCGAGCAGTGGCACACTACGACAATGTGGCATTTTCCTATTCCGTGGTTCCGTTTCCATTTCATTCTGCCCTTAGGTGCCGTTAAAATTCTCTATTTTTTTAGTACTATTCTGCTACGGAAAGCAAAACCAGTACGACCATTTACGCTATTTTTTCTAATACATTTCTATGTATTTCTAGTATTGCTGTATGGTATTCGTCCTTCATCACTATTTTGTATAATAGACTCCTGATCTAGCTGCCCGTACACGACAATGCTCTATAATACACAGGCCAAAACCTAAATCCTAATTCGTATTATAACGGCAGGCTATAACATTTAGCTGTCATTAATATACGAGCGAAATGACCAACTTTTTTTTTTTTTTTGTCTAAATTAGAACATAGAAGTGGGCTCGAGTTGTGAAAAAAGGTTTATTATTATTATTATTTAAATAATGCCAACGAAACAAATGAGCTGGTTAATCTAACGTTGGCCGTGCAGGGTTTAACCGCATTTATTTCCACTTTGTTAGGATTTTAAAAGAATTGAATACAGTTTTCCTATATGAACGGTTTGACGTGCGCTTTAGACCGTGCGTAAAACACCGCCGTGCTAAAATTATCAAGCAAACAACGTCATCTGAGTGATAGTCTTTCTGGGCTATCGACACAGCCGTGGTTTTGACAGGTAGTACGAAAATAGTTCTAATCGCTTCGATTCTACTAAACCCGGGTCGGTCATTAAGCTAGCCGCAAAAAGTTTCATAACAAGAATAGCAAAAAATATGATTGGCCACTATCTCTCTCCCTCTCCCTCTCCCTCTCTCACTCACTCACTCTCTCTCTCTCTCTCTCTCTACATATATATATATACAGCAAACAACCCGAAGGCAACTTCTGAAGCTCCCCTATTGGTCACGCATCCGCCTCAAGCTACTGAATAGAATTAATGACAGCATATTTTCAGAGGACAAGAGCGCGTTGAAGCGGATAGGATATTTATCTTCAAGTCTTCATTATATACATATTGGTCATTGTTTATTTAAGAAAGAGTTCTAGCTGTTTAGGAACTTTGGTTTATGCAAACGCTTAGGTAGCATACTTTTTACTTTCTCTAGCATTACACGGCCGACGCTCTTCTCTTTCAATTGAGTTGATGGATTGCTTGTATAATATTTGTAGTACAAATCTATACAACATCGGGTGACAGATAGATGTTTTTACTGTTTGATATAGATTTGCTATTGAATCGCATAAGCTACCAGCCAAAATATTGCTCTCTCTGGGTTACGATACTCGTAACCCGGTCGTCGTGTAGAGAAGTTATCAAATCACTAAAATTCTACTAATTCCAACTCAATCAGTCGAATTCTGTCAAAGAGATGCAACTCACACGTGAGGCAAATTGAAGGCAAGCTTATGCTGCTTCAACACCGAGTGGTCAAGCCATAAAAAGTGGAAGCTCGACGCAAGGAGAAAAAAGCCCAGCCATGTTGTATCTACCTCGAAAGCTGATTACCAAGCACATGTCATCATTAGTCAACTGCGACAATGTGTGTCGTTTCCCAGTTGTAGCAGTGTATTCCTTTACTTCCCCTGATGTCCTATACGATAACTGCTGTTCAAATCAGTTGATCTCGACCAAGGTATCTTGCGTCAACACGCTGCTTATCCTCTTTCTTTCTTTCTTTCTTTCTTTCTTTCTTTCTTTCTTTTTATTTCCCTCTATCTCCTTTTGTCATTTCTAAACGACGCGAACAGCTTCCCTGTAAGCGGGAAATGATTGCTTCTGAGCCAGCGCAGACCTTCTTCTAATAAGCCATCACCCTAAACCTGTCCCGTCGTAACGCGACGACCAGCCGTTGCGCCAGCCTTTCGTAGGCCACAGTGGCCTACATCGACTGGTAATTGGTGACAACTTCGACTTTAGTGTCGGCAGAAGCCGTTGATTCGGAAAAACAACTGCCGCCGAGTTAATCTGATTCTATCTTCATTGACCTCAATTTAGCACCGGCCATAATGACCCAATGTGCGTCCTCATGTCCGCCTGTTGCCATCTCACGGCACCCGTTAACCCTAGGAGGAGTTTTCGGCTATCTGTATTCTGTTCGCTGGAGATCTTTCTTCCTACGGAAAGGTAGGCAAAAGAAAAGAGACAACAATCAATAATGTCCACTTTGGAGGGTATTCGTCTTTCGAATTTTTAACTGCTTGGCTCAGCCGATAGGTATTGTGCCTCTAATCGGCACCTTTCTGTGTCTCAGCGACTAATGGTACAGATATTCTCACTGTTTTACTTCTTTAATAAAATCTGTTGATCTTGTTTAATTGCTGGCGAACTTCACCTATGCGTTGAATGTACTCTAAAAATGGCTTTGACTCACTCCTGCTTGGTACTACCTTTTCGAAAGGGATGGCCTCAGAGGTATCGTGGTGTGACAATATAACGGTTGAAAAAAGCCGAACGCACCATGACAAATGAGCAGCATGTGATTAAGAGTAATAATTTAATTTCATACTTATTAATATTAACGTTGTAACGACTGTTAACTTTTCAGATGGTAAGTACTTTTCGGAGGAAGTGCTGAGGCCGAAGGAGCTCACGAACAAGGCATCGGGTAGGTCTCTAACGGCGATTCTTGCGCTCGTTAATTCCTCTGTTGAACGGACCTTCTAAAAATATTTACAATTTGAAGTTTGCAGGGGTACTACTTCGTGAGTTTATCTACATTGTGGTGCATCCAAGAGATCAGTGCACCACTAATCGTGCACGCCAATCTTTTTCCCAAGTTATATGGTTCGGTCAAATATTTCATTGTTATCAGTTAAGAAGGACATATTAGATAATAGATCGGACGGGTTAGTATTCGGCGGAAACTGCTGTATGCGAAGATGTACCAAGTGCTTTCCTATTAGCCCCACATGCCCAGGCAGAAGTCGACATGGACAAGAGTTCATGATCGGTGAGACTTTGCCAAAATAATGTATTTTTAGGACGACATCGCGACGCAGTACACTGATCAATCATTGAGAACTTCTTCAAATCGCGAGTATACGAGCGATACGAAAATATCGCAGAGAATGACCCTTTCCATGAATATGGTTTTGAGTGTGGGCGCTACTTTTCAAACGCTCATTCTAAATCTCTTTGTGGAAATATCACCTACAGCTGTTGTCCGATGTCGAACAGTACACAATATGTATATGGCCAATGCGTGTATCATGCACGCCACTCGATGTGAAACATCAAAGAAAATCTGTTTACTTGATGTGTCCTATTTTCGAAATGATATAATTACTCTATGCTGGTTTGAATCTGAGTCGATCCTGTGCTAAAAGAAATATCAGTATTAGTGCAGGGTGACGATCGGCATGCATTCATCACTGTAAAACGCCCTGATCGCGTTAGTTTGACCTGAGACGTCGTTAGCTTCGATCTTTTGCATTCAGATTTTTCGCCAGTCTCTCTGGCCTGCCTGTCCGGCTTTCCTTCCAGTAATAACATGATACGATTCCTCCATGCGTAAAGACGGCCAAGGGATTCATTGACCACATGTGTTTCGCATATCAGCCCGATATGGCAGATGTAATTAACGAGTCACACATGATTTCCTTATTTGGTAGAATCGCTGGTGCCTGCTACCGTTTCCTTCGTTGCTACAGACACTTCCCAGCAGTGATTGTACAACTTGCGTGAACGTGCTTAAATAGTACAGGAGAAAGGGAAGTCGGGGTAGGAAAAGGGTTTATGAAGCTGGGAATACAAGCTTGTCGATGCGCAGTGGTATGGTTTATACTGTGTCCTCTGTATGATTGAAGCGAGCAGGCGATTCGAGGAGACAGAATAGAAGGGGTCTCATGTACGACGGCTTGCCGGGTGGTCGTTTTGAAGCTCGCCGACCAATGACTTTGTATTGGCGCCGCTACATAGATGCGTCAGTCGGTGGAAAGCATGCGTCGCTTCCTCAGAAGGCCGATGGCTGCCACGGCAAAATCGATCGAGTTAAAATAGGAATAGCGAGGTGTGTTGGCTATTGATTGAACCAGCTAATGATACGAGAGCAAAGGCTAGTGGTTCGAGCGGCACTTCCTGAACAGCCTTAAACGCTAGAACTGTCTATGTTCGCTTATGCGGGTGAGCGGGTGGCGAGTCGTCCTTATTAGCTGAGGACACTGCAGCGACAATGACGATAGTAAGGGCAGTGCCAGTAGCCGCGACGCTATGGTATATGGGCGTTCTGTGTCAGCTGGGAGACGATAGTTACCTGTACTAGTACTAAAGCAAGCGATGTATGCAGCCTATTCCTGATTGCTTTGCTAGGAAGTGCTTTTTCTACATTCACATGGCAATCAGTCTTAGTCATTAACATTACCATTATGTTCAGGATTACCATAACCAATAAATATCACCATCATCCCGGTTGCCATCAACATTAAGTCACGCTTACTACTCCGTGAGCCGATCACAAACATTGTCTTGAAGCTCTATATAGTTCTAGATTGTGCGAAAGATACAGAAATGGTGCCGGTATATGTAGAATCGCTGGCAGCATCAACGGTTCATCTATGTATTACATACAAAGTCAGTCGTTTCTACTCCTCTTGCCGGCATTTCTACTGGGAAGTCCAATGCAGACGTCTCTGATCAACTCATGCTACCTAGAACCCAATAGGCCGTACCTTTTTCCTACTGGCACTAGCGTGCTATCGGTAGCAGTGTGCCAGTCAGCCTCGCGACGAGGTACACTATTTCATCCACAGTCCTATTTGCGGCAAAGATCAGCATTATTTATTACTGATTTACAGCACATGAGGCACCCCCACGAGCACATGGTAACCGACGACGTACGCGCTGCTAGTGAACAATGGCCAGTGTACCTGCAGGACGTCATTATAGGCAGAAAATAGTCATTTTCCTGTCCTTCTCGTATGTGGCTTGTGCGATTTCCCCGTCTTTCTCTCTCTTCCCTTTGCGCATGGTCTCTGGCTACCCGATTCAGCCTGTCACGCTTACACTGCCCCAGTTGAACAGTAGCACCGCCACCAACAGGGACAGAATAAAAATGGGCCTGTTGGGACTGTGCTGAAGAAAGAGCAGACGAAAGAAGTCGCTGCGGTGACTCTAAAATATTTGCTCATCTCGGTATTGTACTTTTTTTTTTTCTGAACTAAACCTGCGTCTTTAACGGCGCAGTACCGCGACGTGCATAGAAAAGCATAGGTAAGAGTTGTTGGCAGCCGTCCGGGGTCAGGTGCAGTAACCGTAACCCTGTTAACCACAAAACAAAACAAGCTCAGGCTCGGTTGCATGAGACGTGCTTTGTCACTAAACTTAATAGCAAGGTCTAACCTGCACTTAGCTGTTATGATGAAACCAATGAACACTGGACGGTTATTTCTGAACGACGATGAAACACCATTTTTTAGTTTCTCAAGTGTAACGTAAGCTTATGTTCATTGTATCCAGTGTATAGCACTGTGTGAGGTTCCAGACGCAAACAGGTCCGTTCTCACTGCAGAGGGCAGTCGTGGACCCTGCAAAGATGCTAAAAACAGCCCCGATTGTTCCGCTTCTCATCAAGCTACTTTGGTATTGCACCGGCTTGTCTTGTTCATATTTATACTCCTTCAGGACAAAGGCTCACAACGAAAACCGTGCTACAGCGCTCCATACGCCATTTGACACACGCGTATGCAGACAGATGAAATTCCTCCGTTCTCTATCCTGGACTCGAATAAAATAATTGTGAATTTTGTCTTTCACCGAAACTATATACCGGGAAAAAGTTGTGCTCAGTTTTATGTCTGACAACGATGATCTCTTGCACGATAATATTACAATTGGTGATATTTTGACTTCTGTAAAACTACTTGTAAAATATTGGCTTTTCTATGCAGAAACTAACCGCTAATTAAGTTGAAGTTCGGAAATTTCATGCGACACAAGACAGCGCTTCTCTTAAAAACAACATGCGAACCTCTTAATAGATTGCCCTAGATTTCGATCTGCTCCCAAATAAGTTATGCATGCATCAAGCTGCTTGTAATCAACCTGTCTCTCGAATAAGCGTGTTCTCGTATGCCTTAATTCAGTCCAACGCAGTCCAGCATCAATAGGCTCACTAGCCACTTCTTGAATTCTACGAAAATTGAATAAAGATCGCTTCCTTGAATCGCTTCATGAATACTTCTATAGAAGGATAAATATATAATTACAACCAGTTCTATTATGAAGTCAGACTAGTTTGTTTTTGATCGAGACTTCAGTCATACTACTCGGGGCTACCACCACCTGTTCGGATGGAGAAAGGCTTACCCGCTGAGCTAGCGATCGTTCAATAACAGAACAAATGACAACAATTAACTTAGCGTAACTTTACGCTAACTCGTACCCGTAGTGACAACGCGTTCAGTGCGCAATCAAATCAATGGTCGTACTTCGCTTTCGGCACAGCCTCTATTATAAATTAATAAATCAATAAAATAGTTTTTATCTAATACTCACTGTCTTACATTGACTATTCGCTTCTGTAATCCTTCTCGTTTGTGTTTCCAACAAGTCAATCTTTTATCTTTGTCGTTTAGAGGAAAATCCCGTTCGCTCGATGGGACGCACGCGAAAGCGGCAACTATGGGCATCCTGGCCTGAGTGCGCGTCCCAAACTGGGCATCCACTCCACTTTTTTTTCCCGGTTGCAACTGCTAAAGTAAGTTAAGCCCGTAAGCGACTAAGGTTAGAGGTTTAACGATTGCGTCCCAACAGACGCATAGAGCAAGGGCCTTTGACCGTGCTTATATGCTTTAATCAAGCTATCCGGCTGGCGAAAGCAAATTACTGGTTTTATGCGTAATTTAACCCGGTGGTCAAGTGTTAAGGTCATCGAAACCACAAAGACTACACTACCTCTGGTCCCAGAAAAGCATAAAATCACCGACAGCTCCATGGAGCTTAAGCTAATCACTCAGTAACTGGGCATTGCGGCAGTGGCAACATCGGCGTTGATGTTGGTAGCGCTCGACAGCCGACGGAAGGTCTTTGGTAAATGCAGAAGGCAGCAATTAGAGTAGAAATGGTGGTAGCCCAGCGTTAAATTGTTTAGTTTCTTCTACGGAAATGAAAAGTAGACATCCGCTCGACTGCTGACAGGTCAGCGGCTTTCAAACACTCTTCCTCAAAAGGCTCCGTCAAAGTAGGCCAAACTGAATTGCCGTGTTAAACGCAACGCACGCCGTAGAAAGTTGTTTCCTCGCACGACAAACAATGATAGCAGCAAAGGCAATAGGCCGTTCACTATCCATGTGTGGATAAATATAGTCATGCTACTGGCGACATGTGTGCAATCCTACGTACTAACGTGCTGTAATGTACGGCCGAAGCTGACGGTTTATCCGACCGCTCGAAGGATAACCAGCGTCGCTGGAGTCGTAGTGATGGTTGTGCTGCCAGCGCGTAATCGCGCTTGACGCGAACGTAAATTACGCTTCTTACATAGCAGACAACTCATATATGTAGAGAGTTTACAGTACAAAATCGAAAAGCAGTAGCCGAAATCATAAAAGGCAACGCTATAAAGGATCGGCGAACAGTAGTTGACAGGCGTAGCCTAGTCATATTGTC